TTCTCCGGCGTCTCTATCTAGAACATGCACGCTTCAAAGTTTCTAAGGTCACGAGGAATCCTCCTATGTGCAGACGTGAACAATATGCCCTGCTCATCAGCACATGCACTCCAAATGAACTGAAGGAGATTCCCGACAGGCCATTGAAGAGATTTGTAACAAACTAGTATGAAGCGCGTTCGAATATATACTGATATTGACATATACAACATCATCATCCAAAGGCATGCTCATTGTATTTTCCATCCATCTTTTTTGATGATAGATAACAGGTGCTGAGTGACCAGACTTCGCAGAACCGATCATTCCCTGAAACTTGGGAAATTTATAACTGCAGAGCATGTCATGCGGGGCAGTTCCAGAATCTTCAAGCAAACCAGATTAATATTGAGGCCTTGTTTAGTTTCAAGGTATAAAGTTTTGAGGTGTCACGTAGGGGTGTCGCATGGAGGTGTTCGGATACTAATAAAAAAACAAATTACAGAATCCGTCAGTAAACCGCGAGACGAATTTGTTAAGCCTAATTAATTCGTCATTAGCACATGTGTTACTGTAGCAATTTATTGTCAAATCATGGACTAATTAGGCTTAAAAATTTCGTCTCGCTAAAATAGTCGCAATCTGTGCAATTAATTATTTTTTTAGTTTATATTTAATACTCCATGCATGTGTTCAAATATTTAATGGAATAAGGTGTAAATTTTTAGAGAGGAACTAAACAAGGCCCGAATCATATATCTGTTTCGTCTTCTAGAGTATCTCATAGATGTCGGTGCGAATGTTTAATTTATTACAGTCCTGGAGATCTGACAACTCCTTCAGTGTCAGAAGTGAGCCCAACTTTTGGAATACATCGAACCATAGTCTTTTAGAGCTGAAAACTTGAAGCGTTACAGTTGATAAGGAATAGACGGTAGAAACTAAAATGAGCACAGAAGGACCCAACTATCATTCATATCTGACCATAACAAAAAAAAAAGGAATAGTCAATATAAGGTAATAATAGCTGCCAAAAGAATTTGTAAACATGATGAAACAAAAATGCACTTGTTGTCCTCAAAACATTTTGTACAAATCACATGGGAAGCAATATGTCCCTAGCAAACAGTTCAATTGACTACATAACAATGTTCAGGAGAAAAGGCTGGAAGGCAGACAAAAAACCACACCAACATCAAACTAGAATGGTACATGTCAGCATCATACCATGGATAGGCATGTATAGCTCTGAAGAACAAACGCCGTGCTGCAGAAGAGTTGCAGGCTATTTCTGCCTCATAGGCTAGATAACAGCGGCACAACAGAACAGATTTTTGCAACTTATCGTCAGCTAGAGCTCTCTCAAACAGGCTGTGCATGTGTTCTATTGTCAGATCCGGCTTTACTCCATTCAAAGGACAAAGCAAAGAGCTAGATGATTACGGGTATACAACAATATATAGGGTTCAGGATATTTAGTGGAAGAAAACGCATGCACCACCCATGAGAACTGCATACAGAAAACAAGGCTATGCATCAATGAAAGCTGCATAGAGAAAAGAAGTTGGAACTTAGATATAAAGAATTTTCGTGGAAAGGAGGATCACGTTCACCTTTATTTGCAATATTATTTTTTAAGAAAGAAAAACATTCTGGAATGTGGAAACATGAGGCAGGTAATGACGATGGTAAACAAAAAGAAATAAAGAGGTTTCTTCAAAAAAGAAAGAAAGAAAGAAAGAGAACAATATGCATTTAGAAATGAACTTAGAACTTAGATATGAAGACAATTATAATGGAAAAAAGGTGGAAGTTTCAACTTTGACTACATTTGTCGAGTGTGACACGGAGATTGTTGGATACACTGTAAAGATAGGTCAGGGTTAACATGGCGAAATATGATTTTGGATTGTAGGGATATTTGTGCAGTCCATATGCAGATACGCTTGGCCAGACCCTTGATAGACTCAATCCGTTAAGATTTTTCTGAAGCAGTTTGATGTAGTACACCCACAAATCCTCACACTCCAAGTTATGACTGCTCTGTGAACAGAGCAGATATATAATTAATGTAAGAGCATTTACCAATTGAAAATTTAGGCAAAAGAGAACAAATTTGCAGTTCACAGACATTGTGAAGCAACAGAAAAAATTAAGGATATAAAGGTGAAAAATAACAAAACAAAAATAAAAAGTATCAAGGACATAAAGTACTGTAAACGAATAGCACAACAACAATGCAGAATTTACACAAATATGAGTGCTCCAGTGCAATGCAACAAGATAATCCTGAGTCCTGACTCTTACTGTCAAACCAGTACAAGAGGGATTGAACTTCGTTGACACAGATAAAAAAAATCATGTAGTCATGTACAATAGCCAAATAGAAGCTTATAAAATAATGCCACTAAAATCTATCAGAATAAGAAAATGAGAAGGACGCTAGACCTGAAAGTGCCATTGGATGGTCTCCTCTATCACTTCGAGACCCAAGGAACAGCCCATTGTCATGGTTTCGAACAAAGAAGTTGAGCAGATCAGAGCAAGTGATTCTTCTTTTATACCGCCACAGTCAAATGCAGATCGTAAGCTAGAATCTGCTCTTTAAACCATTGCCGAGCTCTCAAGACCTGAAGCCTTGAAATAATTAATTCTGTAAACTAAAGAGGCAAACTCTTAACTTCATAAATCATGAAACGCTGGTCGAAAAATTAAACTTACTCTCCCAATAACCTGGCAACAACCTGCATTTAAAAAAAAAAAGATACATTAAAAGGGCCAGACATGGATGTATGAGATGCTAAAATGATTGAAGAGGTGTTTAACCTTTGTTTAGACAACATCACAAACACACGGTGTGGTAGAGGACCAGCCAAGTCCCAAATCTATGTATAAATGAAGAGATCACTCCAGGACAAATAAAAACGGGATTAAAGAAAGAAGGCAAATCAAATAAATCACCGAAAAATGAAGACATAATCGTTTGGTCACCCGCTGATCTTCAATATGTACCATTGTCTCCACGAGGAGCACAAAATCTGAGGAACACATGAAGGGGAACATGAACTAAAGGGTAAAAATACGGTTCTCACCAAAACAGGAAATCGTTGCCCAGATGTTGAATTGCTTCCTGATTCTTCCAGTAAACCGAAAACTTTCTGAATACTATATCTGAAAATGGTTTATCCCAAGAAATACTTGCTCGGATGTTTAATTGCTTCCTGATTCTTCTCTGGAAGTAACCAGTATAGATCGGTATCAAGAGGATGGAGCCAATTCCCATATATAAATATATATGATGCCTTGTTACAGAAAAGGCTATTAGGCTGATCAGGACAGCAGCTAACAGAATGCAGTAAACCATTCCCTAAAAGAAATTTCATCTAGCATCAGCAGGGTGAATAAGAGTAAGACATTAAAATTAACAACATAAGAGGCAGCTACACTCAAATAAACTTGTAACAACGTCAAGGATGGTACAATTCTAGAGAAAACGAGCACTGAAGCAACTGCAATAATCAGCTACATCTTGGCTATTCCAGTAAACAGGAAACTTTCTGAATACTATATCTGAAAATGGTTTATCCCAAGAAATACTTGCTCGGATATTGAATTGCTTCCTGATTCTTCTCCAGAAGTAACCAGTATAGATTGGTATCAACAGGATGGAGTCAATTCCCATATATAAAGATATATGATGCCTTGTTACAGAAAAGGCTATTAAGCTGATCAGGGCAGCTGCTAACAGAATGCAGTAAACCATTCCCTAAAAGAAATTTCATCTAGCATCAGCAGGGTGAATAAGAGTAAGACATTAAAATTAACAACATAAGAGGCAGCTACACTCAAATAAACTTGTAACAACGTCAAGGATGGTACAATTCTAGAGAAAACGAGCACTGAAGCAACTGCAATAATCAGCTACATCTTGGCTATTCCAGTAAACAGGAAACTTTCTGAATACTATATCTGAAAATGGTTTATCCCAAGAAATACTTGCCCGGATATTGAATTGCTTCCTGATTCTTCTCCGGAAGTAACCAGTATAGATTGGTATCAACAGGATGGAGTCAATTCCCATATATAAAGATATATGATGCCTTGTTACAGAAAAGGCTATTAAGCTGATCAGGGCAGCTGCTAACAGAATGCAGTAAACCATTCCCTAAAAGAAATTTCATCTAGCATCAGCAGGGTGAATAAGAGTAAGACATTAAAATTAACAACATAAGAGGCAGCTACAATCAAATAAACTTGTAACAAACAAAGGAAACTTAAAATCAATGGCAACAAGATTGTCACATCACCACAACTATGGATGTATATAGCAGACAGAGAGGTTAGAGCCATCCAGTTCAGGCGAGAATCATCAGCACCCTTAATATATTTGAAAGGAGAAGAGGAGTATAATCTCCTTTCATCAGTTTGTTAAGGATAACAAACTGACCATATAATTCAATATAGTATTGCATATAATTGATGCTGAATAAGATGAGATGAGAAACTCCAACAACACTTTTGCGAAAGAAGCACTAACTCAGATAAAGATAAAATCAAGTTGGTATTTCAAGGGTGACAGAGTGGTTAAAATGAGTAAAAATATAGTGGCACCAATCTATGAAGCAAGTCCAACGTGCAGTCTGATTCCCTCCAACATAGAATATATTTTTTTTGAAAATAACAACATAGAATATTTAGAATGACAGGCGCACATTTTACTGGACCATACACTCTATGCAGTGTCAAACAAAAAAAAGACAGGCCATTAAGCTAGACCAGGTCTAAGACACGGCATTATCCAAAATGCTGTTCACATTGCGAAGTCAATTCAAACAAGCTACACATCAGGCACTACATGATATAAGCACAAGGCTGAGAAAATGGCAGCTTTCCAATGCTTAACACCTAGGGTGTTACACAATCTCCTTGTTTGACGTGAATTTTGACTCGAAGACACAACAAATGGTAGATGTTAATTTGCTCTTCTTGCTGCCAATGCAAGGTTGCTTCACCCATAAACATTATATCCTGCTTGGCAACCACAAGTCAACACCAGGATGGTGCGTGTGAAACAGCCTCTTCAATGAAGAGAATGAAGCTTTGTCGGCAAGGTTGCGATGACAGTACAGAAATATCCTTTCGATGCCAGCAGGTAAGTGGTCGATGCCAGCAGGTTCCAACCAATTGAAAACCTCTTCCCATCCCGCCACAGTCAACCGCAGCTCAAGGTTCTGGAGCCTGGGCAGAGCCCCTGCTTCAAAGGCTAGAAGTGGTGTAGGACAGCAAAACTTGAGGTGCTTGAGAGCTGGAAATGCCACAACAGTGCCGAATGTGCTGGGGATGACAACTGTTTCCTCTGGTTCTTCTTTGATCACCAACCAGAGATGTACAAGGGAGGGCAATGCTGCAAGAATACCAATGCCATCATCCTTGGGCACCACCTCTCGTACCACAAGCTCTAAGTTGTAGAGGTCATGGAGCTGAGCTATCCACTTGGGGATCCTGGGAAACCAGAGACCCCAAAGATGGAGCTGTTGAATATGGCGCGGGAAACCAGACAATTTGCCGAGCCAATCAAAGTAACGTATATGACTGTTGATAACAAAGCTCTTGAGGTTGCTGCAGTGGGGAAGTCCTTCAAGCAAAGTGTGCAAGGCCTCCATGGTCATGTCATCCATGTCTAAATGATCATAGTAGAGTTGAAGATCTCTTAAGTTGGTCAGCTTGTCAAGAGACTTAAAACTTTCCAGCGAGCTTCTTGAGAAATCAAACTCCTGCAGGGTACGCAGGAATTTCAAGCTGCCAATCCCATCCTGAAAAACCATACCACCTGGAACAATCAAATGTAATAACCGGCACAAGCGAACAATATCTGATGGAATATATAATTTCATTGGGCTCTCGAGAACCATAGTATCCAAATACTGTAGACCCCAAAATTGATTAGGAAGCTCTAAGTCGCCATCAGTTACAATCTTTAAATATCTCAGTAGAAATAACCAAAAATACTGGTAAGGTCCATTTTGTGTGTCCGAGCTTCCTTAAATTCAACTAACAGAACTCGGAGATACTTGCACTCCTGAAATGATGGTAGCAAAACCCTTGTGAAAGCCACCACAGATCGAACCTGATAGAGTGATCCATTTAATGTTGTTAGTGCCACATGATGCCCTGCACCATTGTATTGGATGGAGGCTCGACAGACCTTCTTGTGTGATAACATTGTGGCCTGAGGATCATCTATTATATCAAAGAAGTTCTCTTCTGCAGACTTGACTCTGATTAGATCAAGCATTATATCATGTACTTTGCAGGACAGCACCTCACCGTTGTAGTCTGTGTTCACAGGTTGAATCATGCTCATATTCATTAACTCATTGAAGTAGCTTCCAGCAACATCTTCGTCTAGCCCATGGATTCTACTCACGAAGCCTTCGGCTATCCATTGCCTCACCAAATCATCCTTATTAATGATAGAGTCCTCTGGATACATACCAAGATATAACAAGCATGTCTTAAGATGGTGAGGAAGATTTCTGTAGCTAAGGTCCAGTATGTGCTTCATGTCTTCTAGACAAGGATTCCCTTCGAACATGGAGCCCAGAGAACTCCATACATACTCCCATGCCATCTTAGATTGACCAGCTAGAAGGCTAGCTATACTGATAATGGCGAGTGGCAAACCACCACATCTTTTTAGAATATCAGCTGAAAACTCTTCAAATACGTCAAGGCAAGCATCACTGGAGCCAAATATTCTACTAAAAAATAGTTTTCTTGAGTCATGTTCACCAAGTGGCCTCATGTTGTAAACATAATGTTGGCTATAGCAGCAACAGGCAAAAGCAATAGAATAAATCCTTGTAGTTGTCAGTACTCTACTACCACAATTATTTGCTGGGAAAGCACATTTGATAACTTTCCAGGCTGAGGAAGCCCATAAATCATCAATCACAATAAAATACCTGTTAAAAATAGCAGGAGTTATAAGATGAATTCAGGAAATAGTGAAGCCCCCTTAGAAAAGATCTTCCCATATCTATTTGAAGAAATATAAGATTATATATTATTTGGAGTTATATAAGTTGAGGTTGAAAATTAAACCACCCTGATAGTTGTGGGACGAAAAATGACACTGAATCTTTAAAATACATAATTTTAAGTACAGACCTTTTATTATATACAATTTAATTTATACTCTCAGAATAAGTAGCAAATTTGGCATCAATGCACTCTAGATTTCCACGGGTGTTGAACACTGTAGGAACATTCCATTGCTAATGGAACACTTGCATTTCTTTGGCATTATACAGCTGCTCACTACCAATATTTATGTGAAATCTACAATGACCATCATTACAAGGAGAACAAAGAAAAAGGCAGCATGAAAAAACTTAAGACGAATTAGAGGGACTTATAAAAGGCTAGTGCTACAAAGTTATGCTGAAAGAGGAGATCATACAATTCCATTTGTTATTTTTACTTAGTAATGATTATTATAATAAGTTTATTTATATAAAAGGCTCAAAAAAGATAACATCAATCTAAGTAATAGCATTTGTTACTAATATATGAGATACTAAGTATCCAATATTATACTAGCGAACTAAAAATATATTTGGTCAGCATGAAACAGTTCATTTGCTGCGTAGAGCAAATATTTTATGACAGTGCTAAAACAAAGGTGCCTCGTGCCATGCATAAAACAAATTAATACCTTTTATCCTGCAGTTGTTCTGTGATCTTCTTGAGAACGTCATCCAACTCGCTGGTGTGAGAGACACAGCCACCAATTTGTATTAGCATTTTATTGAGAAGCTTCGGTATGTCAGGTTTTTGAGACACTGTTACGAATGCACGGCACTCAAAATTCTCTTCAAGCTTGCGGTAAACTTGATTAGCAAGTATGGTTTTGCCCAGGCCTCCAAATCCAACAATAGAAGCCACCGTCAACTCTTGTTCTTGGCCCATGAGTAGTGCAGTAAGCTCAACAGTTGGGATATCCATACCCACAAGGCCAGCAGCCTCCGCATAGATTGACAATACACGTGGATCAACAGGCACATAACTAGGCTTGGAGGTGTAGTCATCAAGCTTGTACCTCATTCGTCGTTTGCTTACCTCTTCCACACGAATCTTGATCTCCTGGATCTTGCTGGCAATCTGATGGCGCACTCTCAACTTCTTTAGAAGCCTAGCAGTCTTCTTCACCAACCCTTTAGTTGCATCATTCTTTTCGAAGTGGTGTGTGAAGTCATCAATGCAGTCTTCAATGTCATACGACGTATTTCTCACCTGGTTCCTCCACTCCTTGGCTGGAGCATCGAGGTCATCCATATCTGCCAACTTCTCAAGAAGGGCCTTCATGCTTCTGAATTCTTCCTGTTAAACTTAGGATCTCTAGGAGCGTAGATCTAGCTACAGAGGTTCTATTCGAGATAAAGAACGTAGTACATCCTAATGCATGTAGAACTAAAGAGACAGAGATGGAAGGGAGAGGGTGCTGAACCTGACACCGTGGAGTGGGTAGATCCAGAGGCCTCCATCGGGTTCGTTGGTGCAGTCTACGCACGGGCAGCGACGGTCGACGAAGAGGTGATGCGCAGTGGCGACCGACGGTGAAGGTAGTGAAGTCCGGTGGCGGCGCGGCTGGTGGCTTCCCGTCACTGGCTGCGCGCCCTCTAGATCGGATTAGGGTTTTGTCGGTGGGGAGCACGGCTCAGGTCAACCTCGTGATAAGAGCCGCCGGCCCGCAGCTCTTTTTATGGCGCAGGGTGACAGGGGCCCTCCAGCCATGGTGGGCTGGGCGTCCCCGATCAGGGCACGAATCAAAGGCCCAACTGGGCCGTTGTGTCCAGTTAGGTTAGAGATCAATCTAACAATCTCTCCCTTGATCTCTTTCCATCTTTCACTTTCATATCATTTACTTTTGTTCATTCCATTACAGATTAGCGCATAGAGTATGTCTCATCGTCACGGTCCATTGCCGACCTGAGCCGTGCTCCCCACCGATAAAACCCTAATCCGATCTAGAGGGCGCGCAGCCAGTGACGGGAAGCCACCAGCCACGCCGCCACCGGACTTCACTGCCTTCACCGCCGATCGCCACTACGCATCACCTCTTCGCCGACCGTCGCTGTCCGTGCACAGACTGCACCAACGAACCCGATGGAGGCCTCTGGATCTACCCCCTCCGCGGTGTCAGGTTCAGCACCCTCTCCCTTCCATCTCTGTCGCTTTAGTTCTACATGCATTAGGATGTACTACGTTCTTTATCCCGAATAGAACCTTTGTACCCGGCTAGATCTACGCTCCTAGAGATCCTAAGTTTAACAATGGTATCAGAGCCTCGTTAAGGTATAGTTCTAGCTTATCAGTTTAGATCTGTTCGGATCTAAGAAAAGAACAGAGGGTTCGGTTGAACCCTAACCCTAACTGGGTGACAGAAAGAAGAAGGAGGGCTCGGTTTCACGTCTAAATCGAACCCTAAAACCCGCAATCAATTCGGGAAAAGAACAACAGTGAAACCCGTAAAAGTCTTCAATGGGGAAGAGAAACAGTAAAACCCTAACCCTAACTTTGATCCCCATCCCAAATTGGTTCAATCCGAGCACCAAAAGAGAACCAAATTCGAAGGGGAAGAAGGGGAAAGGGAGGCCTACCTCGCCGCTGTGCAGCGCTGCTGTCACGTCGGCGCGCGGGGAGAAGAAGGCCGAGCTCGGGGGGAGCTGCTCGCCGGACTCAGATCACAGGGGCGCTGCGGCTAGGCCGCTCGACGGCGGCCCGCTCACTCGGTGGGGAGCGCGCACGCCGGTGAGGGGGCTGGCGACGGCGCCGGGGCTCTCTGCTCGCTCTCGCCGTCGTTGCTCGTCGCTCGGACCCACTCGGCTGAGAGAGGGAAGGGAGAAGAGAAGGCCGAATGGACGCTAGGGTTCGGGGACGTGGCCGGGGGGGGCGGTTTTGTTTGCCCGAAGACGCCGCGCAGCCGTCCGATGCAGACGGACGACTCAGATCGAATGGACCGCATCGCGGCCCAGGCGGGCGAGCGCGCCACGGAGCTTTGCCGGCCCAGGCCCACGTTGCGGCCTGGGTGACAGCCCACGCGCGCGGAGGCAATGGGCCGAGCCGGCTTTTTGCCTGTTTTGGGCCGAAACAGTAAAGAATGAGCCTGGTTTCGCATTTTTTTCCAGAAAATTGAAAAATGGAAATTGGCTCAAAAGAAAATAGAAAAGAGAATTTTCCTGTGGGTAAAATTCACTAAATTGAGATTATTTTTCTGCTGCGTACTTAAAGATGTTATTTTCATTATTAAATTTGAACCAATGGGAGAATTTAATTTTGAAAAATGGATATGTTTTAATTGATCATAATATTGTTATTATTCTAACCAACGTTGATTAATGGCAATATTATGATGCTTTGCCATGCATTAATTCTATTCTGCCCAACGGTGATGTAGAATTAGTGTAGAGAACAAATTGTATGTTTTAATTTTGACCAACGTTGGAACTAAGGCATGCAATTGTTATTGTTATTATTTATGTTCTCACTCTATTTGAATTGTATTTTTAGGCGGATATAACTTGATGAGTTGTATTAAAGAGATCCCCACTCTCAAAGGTGATAACTACATTGAGTGAAAGAAAAAGATCGACCGGGCCTTCATCTTGGCTGAGGTGGACTGGGCAGTCACCACACCATGTCCCATAGAGCCTGTGGCACCGGTGAGGGAGACAAACGAGGCTGATACAGCTTGGGTAACCAGAGAGAGGGATTTTGCATCCCAAAGAATGTCCTATGACCTTGAGCATAGGAAGTGGGTCACTGCCAACAAGAAGTGTTTGGCTGTGATAAAGAACACGATTGAGCCTGCAATTGTGGGCTCAATCCCAGAGTGTGACACCGTCACTGAGTATCTCGAAAGAATAAAGAGTCTGGCTCTTCAAAGATATATGCTACCCAGCTGATAAAGCAGCTGGTGACAGAGAGGTACTCAGGTAATGGTGGCATAAGAGAGCACATACTAAGGATGAGCAATCTGGCATCCAAGCTAAAACCAATGGATCTGGCTCTCAAGGATGAGTTCCTTATCCATCTAATTTTTGCTTCCTTGCCGAAAGAGTTTGACACCTTTGTTGTCAACTACAACATACAGCCCGAAAAGTGGGACATGGAGAGGCTCATGGCTATGTGTGTGCAAGAGGAGGAGAGAATGAAAGCTGCCAATGGTGGCACTATCAATTATCTGAAAGACAACAAGAAACAGAATAATAATGCCAACTTCTCCTCAAAGTCAAAGGGAAAGGGTCCCATGCTGCATAAGCCTCAGCAGAACCAGTTCACAGTAGATAAAGACCAATGTCTCTATTGTAAGAAGACGGGATATTATAAGAAAAATTGTCCCGATTACTTAAAGATGATTATGGCAAGGAAAGGTGAGAACATTATTACGTTCATAAATGAATCCCTGTATGTACAGTATTCGAAATCTATTTGGTGGATTGATTCAGGTGCAACTGTTCATGTTGCTAATTCTTTACAGGGATTCCGTTCGATGAGGACTACGGAAAGAAGCGAAAGACACGTTAAAGTCGCAAATGGAGTCCGAGCAGAAGTTGAAGCCGTTGGCGACCTTTCTCTAGAGCTTGCTGATGGTTTCAAACTTATACTTAGAGATGTTCTTTATGTTCCCTCGTTACAGAGGAACTTGATTAGTGTTTCATGCTTGGACAATGATGGATATGATTGCCATTTTGGAAATGGCAAATGTAAGATAACATTTAATGATGCATGTGTTGGTCTTGCTATCTTACAAAATGAGCTTTATTTTTTATCACTACGTGATGATGTGAATGTTGTATGCGATGATGGGAATGTTGCGTGCGACAATGTGAATGTATCCTCGTCTGCGGATGTAAATAGAAAACGAAAGAGAGCTCACGATGCATTGTCGAAATTATGGCACTGTCGTTTAGGCCATATTTCGAGGGGGAGAATAGAAAGACTAGTCAAGAATGAAATTCTTCCTCCATTAGAGCTCTCAGATTTAGAACAATGCAGAGAATGCATAAAAGGAAAGTATGTAAAGAAAATTAAGAAAGATGCCAAACGAAGTGCAGGAATTCTACAGATTATTCACATAGACATATGTGGTCCATTTCCTGTAAAGAGTGTGGATGGTTATGATTCATACATAACATTCATAGATGATTACTCCCGTTATGGCTATATTTATCTAATCAAAGAAAGAACAGAAGCATTGGAAAAATTTAAGATATTTAAGGCAGAAGTTGAAAACCAACACAATTTAAAGATTAAGATAGTCAGGTCCGACCGTGGGGGGAGTACTATGGTCGGCATACCCTATATGGCCAAGTTCCTAGACCTTTTGCAAGGTTCTTACAGGAGAATGGCATAGTAGCCCAGTATTCTACACCGGGTGAACCTCAGCAGAATGGAGTAGTTGAAAGGCGCAATCGTACCCTGATGGATATGGTGCGCAGTATGATAAGTTACTCCACCTTACCGATGAGCCTATGGATGGAGGCGTTAAAAACCGTCATTCATATTCTCAATAGAGTACCAAGTAAGTCGGTGCCCAAAACACCGTATGAGTTGTGGACAGGAAGAGTACCCTCACTAAACCACTTGCGTGTGTGGGGGAGTCCTGCTGAGGCTAAAGTATTTAACCCAAACATTGGGAAGCTAGATCCTAAAACAGTGAGTTGCCATTTCATTGGTTACCTAGAAAAGTCAAAAGGTTTTCGTTTCTACTGTCCAGACAGACATACAAAGTTTGTGGAAACGAGACATGCTGTCTTCCTAGAGGATGAAATGATGAGGGGGAGCATGGTAGCTCGAGAAATTGACCTTGAAGAGAAGCGGGTGTATGCGCCCACTCCGATGATTTATGAGCCATTTTTCTCACTACCTGCTGTCGCTGCACCGATAGTACAAGATACTATGGTGCCAGCACCTGTTGTTATTCTGCCTATGGCAACAATGAATGACGATGAGGAACCTGTTCTTCAGGATCCTATAGAACCAATTGCCACACATGAGGGGGAGCAACAACAGCCTCAAACAGAAGATGTGCCAAATGTGGAGGCCCCTAGAAGGTCTCAAAGAGTTAGAAAATCAGCTATTCCTGCTGATTATGAAGTGTACAACACTGAAGAATTTCAAATGGAGGATGATCCCACCTCATTTGAAGAAGCCATGAGAAGTGATCATTCATCAAAGTGGCTTGAGGCCATGGAAGGTGAAATGAAATCTATGAATGCCAATAAAGTTTGGGATTTGGAAATAATTCCTAAAGGAGCCAAAATAGTAGGCTGTAAATGGGTCTACAAAACAAAACTTGACTC